GGATTAAAAAAAAAAGATTAAATTACCAGTGTCGTGTTGGTCTTCGTTCCCTAGCCCTTTCCTGCCTGGAATTCCGGAGCGGCTCTGGACTCTGAGACATGTGAGGACAGAGGCGGGGGCCGCAGAGAGACACCGGCTGCGTGTTCCGGAAGGAAGTGGGGCACCCGGCTCGCGCGCCTCCCTCGCTGGAAAGCCACAGTCACAATTGGGACATCGGCTGGAGGTATTAATAAACACTGCTGGTAAGTTTGGGTCCAGTAGATGGCAACCCCGTGACCTTTGAAGTGGCTTCGCCTCCCTTTCTCTCCCCACCCACACTTCTCAACCTGAAGACTAAAAACATGGCTTTCCTGTAATTTGCTTTGACATTAACTCAGGGAATAACAGTACTGGTGAGAGATAAACACCAGGCACGGAAGGTGGGGAAACAAACATTCTCCGGGAGCCCTCATGTCAAAGCAACAGATAAGGATGGTGCTGTCATGTATCACTTCTTTCTTTCTTTCTTTCTTTCTTTCTTTCTTTCTTTCTTTCTTTCTTTCTTTCTTTCTTTCTTTCTTCCTTCCTTCCTTCCTTCCTTCCTTCCTTCCTTCCTTCCTTCCTTCCTTCCTTCCTTCTTTCTTTCTTAATCCTCACCAGAGGATGTTTTTCCATTGATTTTTTTTTAGATAGTATGGGAGGGAGAGAGTAACATCCATGACAGACACATTGATTGGCTGCCTCCCACAGGACCACAACTGGGGCCGGGAATCAAATCTGCAACCCAGGTACATGCCTTTGACCAGGAATCGAACCCAGGACCCTTTGGTCCAATGGCCAATGCTCTAACCACTGAGCAAAATCAGCCAGGACTCATGTACCATTTCTTTTTTTTTATTATTGATTTTTTTTTTAATCCTTACCCGAGGACATTTTTCCATTTTTTGTTCAGACAGAGCGGGAGGGAGAGAGGAAGAGAGAGAGAGAGAGAAACATAGATGTGAAAGGGACACATCGAGTGGCTGCCACGTGCATGACCCAACCAGGGCTGGGGACAAACTGCAACCAAGGCCCGTGCCCTTAGCGGGAACCGAACCCGGGTCTCTCTGGACCACAGGCCAACACTCTAACCTCTGAGTCAAACTGGCCAGGGCTCATGTACCATTTCTTACCGCACGGCAGGCACCTGGGCTTTGCAGGGAGACAGCGTTGACCTAGATCAGGCTTACAGACTGGCAGACCTCTTCAGTGCCACCTTCAGGGCAGAAGAGGTCCCTGCTCTGGACACCCCCACAATGTTCCAGAGGCCAGCACTGGCCCTCCTCCTGCTATACCCCTTCCCATGGGGCAAGGAGTCCTCAGGACCAAGGTTACATGCCCACGCAAAGACCTCTGTCTCCTTTGAGACCATTGCCTCACACACCCAGGACAGGACACCAGAATTCCCCGCCTAAGTGGCCCTGAGCTGTAGCCCTCTTTCTCCTTCTCTGGGGTCTCCAGACCACTGGTAAGTGTACCCCTGGACCCGAGGTGTAGCCCAGGGATTGCTGTCTATGCAGGAGGGGGTGCATGGAACCCTGTCCTGCAGGGTGGTACGTTTACTAACGTGAACAAGAGGAGGAGCAGGGGAGAGGCAAGAGGACAGGCTGAAGTCTGGGGCTGTTCCTCTCTGTGCTAATACACGTCTGACGCATCTAAGCATTATAAATTCAAACCTTGCCTTCCAGGTTGTTGTACGACTGTCAAGGTGGCAGAAAAGAGTGTATCTTGTTTAAAATACTTCATATATTTTATAAGCTTGATTTATGATGTGTAAACATTTAGACCTCTGGAATGAGGCCTTGTTAGTACTCTTGCCCCAGGCCCTACAAACTTTAGGGGTAAACCTGCTCTACAAACATATTTTTGGGAGTTCTGCAGAGTGTTTTAGAAATTGGAAGATTTCATGTACAAATTCTAATTTGGGCTTTTCTTGACAAATGGAAAGATTTGGTCACACTGGGCCTGAATTCCCCCAGGACAACATGAGATAAAACCAATGGACAGCTGCCTGCTTTAGACAGATAAGTACTCACTCCTCAGTTTGCCACACTCCCCACCACTCCCAGCTGTCCTATGACCAGTGCCTGTCTGTGCCCTGGAGGCACTTGAATGTGGGTCAATGGCCCATCCGCTCTTCCTGTCATGGGCAGGAGGCTGGAACAGAACCTGGTTGGTGGGACATCCATGGTCAAAGCTCTGGATGTTGAAATCTATTCACAACTGCCCCTCCAATTTCCCTGTGTGGAGATGAAATCAGCATTAGCACTTACCCCAGCTCAGCCTCTGCGCCTTCACCAGGCTGATCAGAAAGGAGAAGTAGGACTGTCTGGGGACATTAGAAAGTGGAGAATGAAAGGGGAAGAGGAGTCCTTGCTGAGAAATGGGGACAATGCACATGAGCTCTGCATTTCTAGTTCAGACCCCGAACGTATTCGGAAGATGCTCAGCCCAGGTCATGTGTCTTCTGTGGGGGTTTCTGGGGGGAAATCACAGTGCTAGAGCAGGGGTGGGGAGAAACATCGCTGATTGGAAGCAAGCCTGCCCCAGCCTCCCCAGAGATGCTGGGCCCTGGCGGAGCTACCTGTAAAGAAAGCAGGGCCCAAGACTGTGAAAGAAGTTGTCTTTCGAAGCATGCAGTATCTGAAGTGACCACTGGCTTCTTCTTCTTTTTTTAAAAAATTTTTTTCTTTATTGATTTTAGAGAGAGAGGAAAGGAGAGGGAGAGAGATAGAAACATCGATGAGAGAGAACATCGATTGGCTGCCTCCTGCATGCCCCCCATTGGGGATCAGGCCCACAACCTGGGCATGTGCCCTGACCGGGAATTGAACTGGCGACCTCTTGGTGCATGGGTCGATGCTCAACCACTGAGCCACACCAGCTGGGCGACCACTGGCTTCTTTGCTCTGTGTATTAACCCAGGGAAAGAGCTACCTAGAGCATTAGTTACCAAAAAACCAGGCCCTGGAGGAAATCAATGGGAGAGACCCTGCTTGCTGCAGCCTCTCATCACATATCCTAGTCTACACTGAGTTCGTTCACCGGGAGGAGAGCCCACTTACCAAGTTTTGTGGGGAGACCAAGGGTTAAATGCCAGATTCTGCACCGGAAGCAATGCTGCAGTTGGGGAAGGTCTCTGGGCTGTCTCCACCAGGCTCTGAGCCCGGCTCCCCACACTGGGCATCCACAGCATCAGCTCCAGGGACGAGGGCCCAATGGTGGCCCAAGGGGTCGTCAGAGGTCCTTGAGTTGGACTCCTCCCAGAACTAGGCCACAACGAGGTCAGGTGAGGATGCAGCTTTTCCAGGCCTCTGCCGAGTTTATTAATCACACTAGCCCAGCATTTTCTTTTTTTTTTTCCTCACCCGAGGACATTTTTCCATTTTTTGTTCAGATGGAGCAGGAGGGAGAGAGGAACAGAGAGAGGGAGAAACATCGATGTGAAGGGATACATCGAGTGGCTGCCACCCGCACGACCAACCAGGGCCGGGGACAAGCTGCAACCGAGGTACGTGCCCTTAGCGGGAACCGAACCCGGGTCTCTCGGGACCGCAGGCCGACGCTCTAACCGCTGAGCCAAACCGGCCAGGGCTAGCCCAGCATTTTCAACCTTTTTCATCTCATGACACAAATTAACGAATTACTAAAATTCCGCAGCACGCCAAAAAATATGTATTTTGCCGATCTGACAAAAACAAACACAGGTAGAATTGTGATTCATTCACACCAGACAGCTGTTGTTATGTTGGCTGTTGCCCTTTTTTAAATCTGACGATTTAAGGGAAAAGAGGTCAATACCCCTGACTAAATAGTCAGGTGTTACATGTTTTAAAAACTCTGGTGGCACGCCGTTGAAAATCCGTGCACAGCCCAATACCGGCATACTCGCAGGAGGTGGAGAGACTGGGCAGGAGAGGCCCAGAGTGGAGACCTTGCCTCAAACCACCCAGAACACTGACCCTCACATGGAGGAGGTACTGGCACAGGGTAGCGGGCTGCTCCCCTCTTTTCCCTGTGGTCACCATGTCCCCAGATGGCTGCCAGCAGGGAGGCAGTGGGCAGTGACTGTCCCTTTGAAAGACCAAGGGATGAGACTGAAGGTAGCTGCTGAATCAGGCACCTCCCATGGCAATCCCAGTCACTTTTTGTCCCCAGCTGATTCAGCGGGGGCTGTGTATGTGCCATTGCTCTTGGGCGCTGGTGTGGGTAAGGTACAGCATGCAGACTGGTGGGCACTCGGCCTGGGGGGTCTCTGAGGAGCAGGTAGACACCAGAGCAGGGGGACCAGAGCACCCTGGTTTCAGGCTCGGCCCAAACTGTGAATTGAAGCTCTGAAGGCAACCTCGTGTTAGCTGAGTCACTGCCGCGCTCAGACTGTGCTCGGATGGCCGCCTGCAGAGCCTCTGGAGACTGGCAAAGGTGTGCGCTCCGTCCCAGCTCCCGAGGGAGGCGGAGTCTTCAGCAGGAATGTGCCTGTGTCCCTAAGCCCCATGTCGCCCCGTGGGAGCAGGAAGCAGGCACTGCCTCGCGTGTGAGGGGTTGCCCTCGTGTTACTAGACTTCCTGGCACGGCGCCCGGCAGGCTGCATGGTCCAGGGCTGGCCTGCTGGCTGGAGCCGAGGAAGTATAGTTGTGTGAGTGGGACATGGGAGCATCGACCCGAGTGACCGTGCTGCTGAATGGCACCTTGCACTGGTCCTTCTGTCTGGAGAATGACCTGCTGACAATCTAGAGGCGCGAGGCGAAGAGGAATGGAAGGTGGGAGGTCATGGGGAGGTGACTTGGGGAGGAAAACCAAGAAGATGCCTAGAGGGAGGATTGCAGATTCTTTGAAAACCTCAGCTTCCCAAGTAGACGAACAAACCATGGAAAAGAAGAGGTCTCCATTGCTTGAAAGGCTCTTAAGTCCACGAACAGAAAACGGCCCCAGCCCCACCGAGTTTAGGTTCCAAGGGAAAACTGCCTTGCAAACTGGTTTCTTTTAAGACATTTATTTAGAAAAATAACCCTCCTCCCTCTGTGCTTTGGGTCTTGGGCGTGAACACTGACACGGCTCTGGGCTGAGTCTTCCGTCCACGTGGGCCCTTTACACTTGCTGACAGACGGCCACCTGCTGGGAGGCCTCACTTACTCCTGCTTCAGTCCATGTCTAGGCCTCTGTGTCCCCATCTCCAGGTGCAGAGACCTCTGAGGGGCGAGGGCAGTCTGGCCACAGTCTGTGTGCCCCTCTTGCCGGCAGCCAGGGGCTGGGATGGTGGTGACTCCACTCTCTCTCTCTTCTGGAAGAACTCAGGGCTGGAAGCGTGGGGAGCTGACGTGAGGCTGATGGAAGGCGTGAGCACTGTACACCACCTCGGGGGGCGAGGGTGTGCTGCTGGCCAGCACTGAGCACAGGGGCTCGTGGCTGCTGAGCACCGACGTGAAGTACTTCATCTCCTCTGTGAGCTGCTTGATCTCTTTGCGCAGAGCTGCGTTCTGTTTCTCCAGGTCTTCACTCTCCTGTTGGGGGGAGGGATCAGCATCGGAGATTAATGTCAGGGCAGGCCCCAAGATCTGAGGGGTGGGGTGGTAGCAGGGGGAGCCAGATCAGATTTATAGGCACATCCATGGAGCAGGGCATCAGTGAATGTGTCTGCACATGTGTATGTGTGCACGTATGCTGATGTACCTGTAGTGCGGCATGGGTGCAGCTGTATAAGCGCGTGTATACATGCACGTGTATGCATAGACATTAGGTTGAACCACGTGAAATTGCTGATATTGGTCTGTCTTGACCTATAAGAATGGCAGTTTCATATGGTTCCAACCAAGAGAGGTGTATGTATGAATGCACAGGTGAATGTGGGCGTGTGTGTGCTCCTTCGTGCATGTATATACTTGAGTCTCTGTGAGTGTGTATATGGGTTGAGAGTGGCAAGTGTATGTCAAAGTTAAATGGGCTGGCAGGCCAGAGCTTGAAAAAATGGAAAAGAGTTTATGAGAACATCTTATACGTATTGATTTCACTCTTTTCCACTCTGCCATACTGTGTGTTTTCCAAGAGGCCCCAGTGTTTTCATTTAGTCTTACGAATGGAATCCATGGCCAATCATCTGTGTCACCCAGGTTCTAAAACACTCAGGGTCTTAATCAATATTAAATGGTCAATATCTCCCACAGTGTTGGATTTCACTCTGTTTTGCTCACCCAAGAGCCTGTCATACAGCATCTGGGTGCGTCCCAAACACCTGTGGTTTCCTTTCTCCAGAAACACCTTTCGCCTGTTGCTCAGGAGAACCATCAAATGACATCAGGGCAAAGGGTGCTGATTACTCATCTTGTCAATCCACAAAGACACTCTAGAACTGGTGTTTGCTGGAAAACAAGCCCACCTTCAGAAAGCCCAGGGGAATTGCACTTCCAATGTGTTTTTTAAGGTTCACATGCCTTCAGTTGGGAGACAGACCTTTGCCACCTATCACTGGTGCCCACGGAGGAAACGGATATGGCACTGAAGATACAAATAAATTACATTTGAGTTAAAAAAGCAACCTCATATGTGCAGTCCAGGCCTTCCTGTGCTCGTTCTGTGTGATTTAGGTCAACAGTTCCCAAACCTACCATGTCATTAGAATTAATCCCAGGGCTTGTTAAAAATGTAGTTTCAGGTGGGTTTGGAATTTGAGTGAATTCTGGGAATCTAAACTTTTTAAAAGATATTGTTTTTTAATTTATTGATTTGAGAGAGTGGAAGACAGAGAGAGAGAGAGAGAGAGAGAGAGAGAGAGAGAGAGAGAGAGAAGCATCGATGTGTTGTTCCACTCATTTATGCATTCACTGGTTGATTCCTGTATGTGCCCTGACTGGGGATCGAGCCTGCAAACTTGGTGTATTGGGAGGATGCTCCAACCGACTGAGCTACCCCGCCAGGATTGGGAATCTAAATTTTTAACAAGTGTCCTAAGTCATTCTAATGATAAAACAAGTTTGAAAACACTAGTTAAATATGATATTCAATTTGTTTTCATTATTTAGGCGCTCATTAAGTACCGGCACATAGTACACATGAGCTCAAATGTTTGTTGATTGACTCAGCATTCTGTGGGCAGTGAGCAGATGTAAGATAACGTGACAGTGAGAGTCTGCCTTAAATAATCCACTAGGAGCATGAGCTGGAGGCTAATGAGTGAGCTCATTTCATTGCCAGCTGCCCTAACCCTGCATCCGGGAAAGTGGTCAGAGTGTGTGACCATGCCCTTACCCACCAAGCCAGCTTCCATCCATTTGTAAAGGGCAGATGTGATCGTGCTCAGCCCCAGCCTGGCATTTCTGGCATGTGGCTCTGAGCTAGTAAACACGCCGAGGTAAGTACAAAGGAACCCCCCTCTCTAAAATGGGGTGGGGGTGGGTGGGATACCAAGAGGCAGAGCCGCTGGCTGCCGCTCCTGCGACGTGTGGCTCTGTGACCATTTTAGTTGTTTCCGGGCACATCCCAGAGGGAGGGCATCCCCTCTTTACCGAAAGGTAAGATAAAACAACACTTAGACAGGGAGGGGTAGGGGGTGTTGGTAAGACGGGAACCGGGGGCCTGGAGCGCCGGTCCCTTCCTCTAGCCCTTTTCCTCGCCCCCTCTGAGAGTTTCCACTGGTGACAACATTTACCGTAAATTCTGTGCTCCGAAGAACCTGGGCAAACCCCAAGGCAGAGGGAGGGGCAGGGTAGGCGGGTGCAGGGACCAACGGCTCTGACCTTCTCCCCGCCTAGAGGCAGGCCCAGCTTTCGGGAAGTGAACAGCAGGTTCTTCTGAGCTCGTCGAAAGCCAGCTTGCTGAGCTTCCTCTTGCTTTCTCATCTCCCTCTCCCTGCCCCACTGGCTTGCAGACCCCAGAGCTCTAGCAGGGGGTTCGTAACCACTGCTGCCTCTAACCAGAAAACCACCATCTAAGCAAACTTGCCTTTACCTTGGGGAGCAAGACTGCTTCCGCCCAGAGACACCAGCGCTGCCAGCCCAGAGGCCCGCAGCCAGCCAGACTCTTCTAAGAGGAAGAGTTTGAATTCTTGTGGGAGGAAGTGGCTAATCTGGGGCTTCCTCCTTCCACATCCCCACCTCCCATGGCTTCGTCCACTCGTCTACTCTGACCCTCACCAGGGCAATCAAGCCCTGGAAAGGGCTCACACAGGACCAGCTGGCAAAAACGGGAGCAGCTGTTTGCACAGAAGTACAATGTTGCAGCCGGAAACCTAGAACTCAGTGAAGGGGAAGGGGAAAGGAATATTTGGGATGAAAATGTGGGCTTCTAATACGAATGCCTCCTGCTACAGTGGGGGAGGGGGGGGCCTGCATTCGTCCCTCCAGGTCACCTGCTTTCTACTCTTCGGAATTCATTTAGGTCCTTCAGACTCCTCACTGTAACTCTGTGGGGTTGATATGGAAGGCCAGCTGTTATCGTTATCCCCACTTTGCAGAAGATGTCACCTGAGACCCTGGGACAAGCCCCTGCTCTCCCCCTCAAAATGACTGTGGGCTGGTGGCAGCAGCTGCTGGGAAAGGGGCTCTAGGACTGACCTCAAGATACCTAGTTTCTAAGAGGTCCAGAAACTTTGATTGCGTGATTGATCCAAAGCCCCATAACCACATAGGAGCAGAGTAGGGCTTGGCTCCGGGCTTCCCCCAGCTCAGCCTGGGGCTCTTTCTAACACACCTACTGATCCTCCTGAGACTGGTGACTCAATTGACTAAAGGTCTGTAGGCATTACTAAGAAGTCCTTGCCTGCCTTATAGTCTCCCAAGAGAAAACTGGATCTTGGTTTGAGTGACCCTTAAACACTGCACAGTACATGATCTCTGAGTAGGCCACACCCTTCCCTCACAGTGCTGGGCATCTGCCTCCTGCCCTGAGTTGGGAGGGAATCTCCTGTCCAGCTACTCTGCTTAGAGGGCTCATAAACTCCAGGCCACACCTTCCTCCAGATGCAGAGTGAGGTCCGAAATACACAGCAACGGTGGGCTTGCTCCATCGGTGGTAAGTGGGGTCGGGGTCCTGGGTCCTGATCCTGGTTGGGTGGCCCTTTCTGAGCCCATTGACTTAGTTTGAAACAGGGAAATGGGACCAAAACAATGAATCAACCTTGGCCACACTTTGGGATCAATAGGATCCCCTGGGGAGCTTTGCTGGTACTGATGCTTGCTTCTGATTTCATCAGTCTGGGGTGCCGCCTAGGCGTTGGGTTGTTCAAGGCTCCCCAGGGGGTTCTAATGTGCACTGAATGTTGAAAACCACAGGATCAGAAGATCTCTAAGCCTTCATTAACTCTCCAATATTTCAGATTCCAAATTGACTACTTGAGTGTATTAGCAGACTAGAGCCTTAACCCCCACTTGTTGAGAAGGGGTGTGTGTGTGTGTGTGTGCGTGTGTGTGTGTGTGTGTGTGTGTGTTGGGGACAGAGGGATGTAAACTCAATTTATATGAGAAAGATTAGTAGAAACCAAAATTTTAAAAGAAGAATGCAGTTGGACTTAATAACTAACATTTATTGAATGCTACCGCGTGCCAATCACTCTTTTAAGTACTCTACAGTTATCATATTTAATCTTTGCAACAACCCAATACGGTAAATAATATTATTATGCACATTTTGCAGAAGAGGGAAATCTAAGGTACAGAGAAGTTAAGTAACTGTTCAAGGTCACACAGCTTGTAAGTTGTAGCACCAGTGTCTGAACTGAGGCAGTCTGGCTTCGAAGGGTGCCCACTGTCCTCTCTTGACTTTGCAGTCTGTTTAAATCTTATGATATTTGATCATTATCTCCTGTGAGGCCTCAGCCCTGGCTTCCAATTTAATCTTCCCTCTTTTTCTACCTCATGCAAATCCAGATGCTAATGTTCACAATTCAACCTCACCTGTGGGGTTACTTGATGCCACTCCTACCATGAACCACAAGCAGCTTGGGGGTGACTAAGGAGGAGGCTTCATGGGGGTGTGGGAACATTCTGGGGAATTTCCTACTGGAGGGGCAAATGAGGGGGTCACTCAAAGAGCTCTTGAATGATGGGGAATCCCCAGACAGGTCCCTTACCCACAGGGAGGGAAGCCAGCTGGGACCAAGGTCAAGTACAGGCTCTTGCCCAAAACTCTGGCCAGGACTCTCCAGGCGTTCTTAGCAGGTCGGCCCTCCTTCCCGCCAGCTTGGCTTTAGTGCCTCGACCTTCTCCTTGAATTTTCTAAACACAATTTCCAAAAAGGTCAAAGTAGTTCCTATATGTTTCTTCATCAACAGAACATGCACTTACTTATTGGTAGGGGGACATTTTAGCTCTCACCCACACTTAAAAAAAATTTTTTTTATTTCTTTATTGATTTTTGAGAGAGAGGAAGGGAGAGGGAGAGAGAGAGAGAGAGAGAGAAACATCGATGAGAGAGAACATTGATTGGCCGCCTCCTGCACGCCCCCCCCCCCCGCCCCCATGGGGATTTCGCCCACAACCTGGGCATGTGCCCTGACTGGGAAAGGAACCGG